CCGCTATTGAGTTTATTGGTCCAGCCTTACCAAGATAGGTTACTCGTGCCCAATATATCGATCTTTGGAGCTTGCTCTATCTAAGAATGCATCTTCAAGCATATGAACCAAGCGAAGGAGTGTAACCGTTTACAATCGTGTAACAAACTCTACAATAATTGTAATGGTCTCTCTTATGCCTATAAATACACTATCATTGCCGCTCACATATAACAATTTTGTTTGGAACCAACTTTAAGCTTGAACTTTAGATTGACTTAAGCGTCAAAATGTTTGTTCATTACGTGCACATTTTCTTGCACAGCTCGATCTATCAGTTCAACCAGGAAGCTAATTGCATATCTTAACTCCATAATTCAGTATCTATTAAGAGAGAAAATAAAATGTTGAAACATTACGGGACGTTTGTTCAAAATGTATTTTGAAAGGCTTATGAAGGTCAATAATAGTATTGAAACTTTTGAAATATTAGGGATATCTTTTAAACAAATGACAAAGTTCAGGAAAATAATTGCTCCAATATAAAACTTTAAAAATAAAAAATTCTATTAGAATATTGAATTGCCAAATTTTGTATAGTAGTCATGATTATACAAGTCAGAAGTTAACCAAGTGTTAAAATATAAATCATTACTATATTAATAAATTAATTCATATTATTTTAAATTCAACTAAATATTTTAGTTAAAAATTAATACTAGTCCACGGATGAGACACCATTCTAACACTTTTTTAAATTGAGATTCAATTTTCAATTATGCTACCAAATAATCCTATTTTTCATTAATCAATTAGTTTCAGATTTTTATTTTCAGATCATCAACCAAACGTACATTTATTTTCTAGGCGTAGGCTAATCTTTTAAAACTCATAAGCGACCTTTTGTAAATCTTAAAAATATTTATTTCACCAACGAGAGCATATAGTTCCATAGATAAAGATATTTACTACCATCTCGAACGTAGATGGTTCAATCCTCCATTTTTAAAGATCATTAGACAATTAAAAAAAAGTGTACATTAATGTTAAATTATAAATTTAGCCTATAAATTTCAAAAACACGTCTAATATTAATTGATAAAATTTTAAATGGTTAGAAAAATATAATAAGATAAAGATGCTGAATTCTAAAGACAAAATTGATTTGGTTGTTCAAATTTTCAATTTCACACCATATGGCTTCTCTTTTTTGTTATATTCTATATCGTGACTTTTAATTATAGATCATAAGTATTTTTCAATTATTGATTTTAGACTAAAGTGTATTCTTCAAGAGTGGTCTACACTTAGCCTATGATTTTTAATCATGGTTTAAAATACTTTTTAAATGATTAATTTTAGACCACATTTTATTGTGTGGTTAATAGTCATTTATGGATTAAAAAAAGAGAGAGAAAGAGGCGTCGAAGATAATTAAAAAACGTCATTTCGATACAAAATGACATTTTAAGTTTTAGACATAAAACTTATTTTATTGGTCCATGTACAATTTTCTACATCATTACTTTCGCGACCTTATAAACATCATATGTTGAATATATTGTTTCTTAGGTTTAAATATCATTTCGATATTTTGATATCTATATTTTTAATTTTTACTCATTGTACTTTTAAAAAGTTACAATTTTGATAACTATTTCAAAAAATGTAGCGAGTGAAGTGGCATGTTAAACTTTTGATCGAAATAAATAAGACAAAAATCAAAATGGTCACTTTTTTCAAATACCACTACCAAGAGTAACATTAGGATAGTACAATAGTAGTGATTAAAATGAACAAAAAGTTGAAAATATAGAGACTAAAATGACAAAAAAAAAACATGGCCAAAAGTGTATAGATCTATTTATTATATCCAAAAGTGATTCAAATAATGTTTTTTATTTTTGTATCAAATTTTCTGGTTGAAAGTCACTTCAAAATCACCCTGCAAGTGATCGATCAAGAATCACTTAAAAATAATCTTGAATTTTTCTAAAACTACTCATGAATCCTTATTAACATTATATTTTAAAATGGGAGTGATTTTTCATGAGTAAAATTGATTATAATAGTATTAAAATCATTGGCAAACATGTCTTAAATTTATCCAGGCAGCTAAGCCATACGATCCAATTAGCTGATCTAGAAGGTCTTTTAATTTCACTGTGGTTCTAAAAGATTGAATTTAAGTTTGTGGGGCCCATATATTTTTGTTGGCTTATTATTAAATAAAAATGCAATTCTAATTTGGTTGCTGTTGTGATGATTAATAAAGATAAAATTGACCTATCTTCATATGAGAGGAGGATCTAAGAGATAGGGTTTGGTAGGTCGTAGATGTATGTATTTAGAACATGCTATCATTTTTATTTTTATTTGCATCTTGTAGAATATATTGTGCTCATTTTTTGTTTAATTATAAATTTCGACCATGAATTTTGATAGTATTTATTTATCCTTCAAATTTAAAAAAGTTTAATTATATTTATCTCTTTCTATTTGATTCCTATTAAGATATTGTTATTAAACATTGTTACATAAATGTGGATGTGAAATGTCCATTAGAGGTGGATTGAAGAGTCAGCTGATTGGATAAAACAAGGGTAGGCATATATAAGATTTCAATTTAAAATATGCTTCACTTTTTTTTATTCATTTTCAAATGTGATAAAACTAAAGCTGAATAATCAATTTAGTCTTTGTGGTTTTTTAAAATTTCAATTTGGACTACATGGTATAGACATATTTTTCAATTTAATATCTATAATTTGATTAAATCTCATAAACCGCTTCTATTGTTATTATAAGTATCAACTGTATTTTTTATAATTTGCTCGCCCTCATTGCTCTAATACGAGATTATAAAACGAAATGTGTGAAAGGAGAAGTTGAGATGAGTTTTCAAACGAGTAAAAGATAGTCCAGGACAATTTGTAAGATCTAACCCGACTATGAGATTAAATTCAAACATTTAAAACCATAAAGACTAAATTTAAACTCATCCCAAATAATCATAAGAACCCATATAGATAATTTTATCTAAACTTAAGTAAGATGTAATAAGAAAAAAGAGATTAGTGAAATAGAGTGGATGGAGGGGGCATAGAATAAAGATGTGATAAGACAGGGACTTGATGGCAATCTTAGAAGTTAGTGGGACCCCATTTGGTTAATAAGAATCAGAACCCACCATTTGCATTTAGCTCCTCCCACTCCCACGTCCCAATATTTCATACCTTTCACATTTCATTTTGGGCACAATCCTATATGCCTCTACCATGCCATCCCCTACCAAACTAGTATATATCTTTCTATACTTTATTCTATTTCTCACTAAGAACTTCATTTATCTCATAAGCGGGTTGATTCGACGGCAAAAATTCACGTCTAATCAACTCATCCATTCAACAAAATTAAAATGTATATACGATATCTTGCTTACCTTCTTTTTTATTCGAATCATCTGTTAAATAAAAAAGGATCGAATTAATCGAATTAAAAAAAGTACTAAGGGATCTTTGGCATTGGGCTCTATTTTTGACGATTCAATTCATAAAATTCCCCTTACCTTAGCTTTTTAGAGAATTTTGCTCATGCGTTGTGGAACTTGTAGCTAGTTCAATAATCGACTGATCGAGTGGGTTTGTTTATCATTTTAGTTTCGAGTATCTTCTTGATAGTTATAGCGGTACATAAGCGCAAGTTGATGCTTCATTGAATTTTTGTTAATTTATAGAAATAGATAGAAATAGTGGAGACTTACGGGAAGGAATCCTACTAATTAGGAGCGGCTTGGATGATATGAGATTTTAAGTAAAATTTTTAATATATAATATATGATTTAATTTTTTTTGTTTTTTTTTTCGGTTAGAAGTTTGTTTGATTACATGTTTCAATTTTAACCATATCATTGTCTACTATTTTTGCTTCATCTTTTGATTTGTCTATACACAACCTCTTCTTTAGAGGTACATGTCAATTACCATTGAACTATGCTTGCTTTATCAATTTTAAAGGGTTTTAATTGTGAAGAAAATATGTAAACAAATTTGAAACGAACCTAATTATAATAGAGAGGAATTTACGAGGCTCGTTGATTATATAAATTTTCTACAAATATTTGCATTTGCATTTAATTGAAGTTTCTCTCTCTCTTTTTTTTTTTACCAATTTAAGCATAGCTCAACTTGAGCTTAAATCCTCGCCTCAATATGTTGTACTAAAAAATAAAAATCGAAGCTCGTTCTTTTTCGAGAGAACTATATATATTATTATATTTCATATTCTATATTACATTTACAATAAATAAATAAAATATTATAATATATAATATAATTTATATACTATATATTTAATATTTAAAAAATATGAGACCTTGTAGACAATCACCTATAATTTAAGCCAGCTTAAATCTCTTTTTAGAAGGATTTCAATATGTCAATGGATGCAACTCATTTTAGTAACCAAAAAGATAAGGAATATTATAATTATGAAATTTATGGGCAAAAAAGAAAAAAGGCAATAGGGCCCCTCCTCAATTTTTTTTTTATTTTTATAATTTAAATTGTTGTTGAAATTTTGGCCATTTATTTTATTTTACCTGTCAATATCAGGAGCATGACATCTGAAGCGTAAGCCCTTTTCGCGCCCCACACTTATCCTTTCTTTTGTCGTCTAGCTTCGTCCCACGTGTCGCCCCATCAACGGCTCTTATTCCACTTCCACGTCACCCTTCCACTTCCAATATCCAAGGCCATTTCCGTAAATTCCCCTCGTGCCCACTCCTAATTGGTTCTGTCAAAAGCGTTACGGAATGAGTGAAATGTAGACGATTGCTGCCCCCCATCATTCTCGAATATTAAACAATGGAAAAATCTGCTTCTTTCTAGCTTTTGATATTTTTCTTTTTCTTTTTCTTTTTGGTTTTTGAAATTTATATTTATCGCCGTACTTCTTCGACCCTCATTCTAATTAACCCGGCAAAATTTGTGAGCTCTCTCGAGGAGCTCATCGAAACTCTGATGGAGAATTCGAACTCGGCGGTGATCGGTCATCAGAAACCGAACCTACCGCCGGGTTTTCGGTTCCACCCGACGGATGAAGAGCTGGTGGTTCACTACCTGAAGAGGAAGGCCACTTCCCTCCCCTTACCGGTGGCCGTCATCGCCGAAGTTGACCTCTACAAGTACGACCCATGGGAGCTTCCAGGTGGGCTTTTTCCGGCAATCAACCGCCGGACACAAATATTTATTCTTGCTTACACATGGAATTTTCTTTTCTAGAATAAAATAATATATGAATAATTATTCTTACCATCTTCCCACTAGATATAAATTACAACTATTTATTTTATTTCGATGGTAATTTAAAGAAAAAGAGGGTGTCTAAAAAAAATTATTGAAAGATTGGATTTTTGTTTTTTTTTTCTTCTAATTTATGGCTTTAAATTTTAAAGAATTGAA